TGCACAAAGAACCCGCTCACATTTTGGAACACAGCAAACCCGGACTTGCGGTCTCCGGACTTGAAGCCGTGAGGGGCTCTGGTCTGAAATGCCAGGTTGGAGCCGTCGAACTCAAAGACCTCTTTCAGGAATGTCGGGGCTGCAGCAAATGCCGTTGTCTCCAAGAATGCTTCCAGCTGCTCGTACTCGCTGCCCAGCATTGGTCTGCGGTGGTACGGCACCTTCCCCCCGTACTTCTGCACCGTCACGTCCCGGTGATACGTCGGCGTCGGCAGCGGCCCCACCACCAACTCGGTGACGGTTCCCAAAGTACAGCACAGCCAGAGCCTCCCGGGGCGGGCGAGGACCCCCCTCGTCCAGGAACCGCAGCACCTCTGCCTTGGCAGGGACCTGCACGTCGACGAAGGCGATGCAGTTGTCAGAGGGGTTTGCTTGCGAGGCGTCCACCAGCGGCACCCCGAGGTGTCCCTGCAGGTACCGCACCACCTCCGCCATCTCTTCGGGCGTCAGATCAGCAAACACCAGGCTCTGGCTCCTGGACCCCGACTTCTTCATGATGCGGGGCTGTGAGTCGCAGCTGGGTGACCGCCTGCCCCTGCTCAGCAAAAAGCAGGAGAGAATGAAGATCGTCACCGCCGCCCCAGCCAGGAGAGCATAGGGAAGCTTGGGGTTCATCTCGCTGAGTGCAGCGCCATCTCTTCGGGCGTCAGATCAGCAAACACCAGGCTCTGGCTCCTGGACCCCGACTTCTTCATGATGCGGGGCTGTGAGTCGCAGCTGGGTGACCGCCTGCCCCTGCTCAGCAAAAAGCAGGAGAGAATGAAGATCGTCACCGCCGCCCCAGCCAGGAGAGCATAGGGAAGCTTGGGGTTCATCTCGCTGAGTGCAGGGACAGCGCAGGGTTTGGCTGCAGCACCCTGAGCGCGTCCCTCACCTGCAGACCGGGCTCCGAATTTGTTTGCTGAATGTGGGCGTGAAGGCGCCACTGACGAGGAGGGGAGGGAGCCTGGAGCTCGTGTGGGACCAGGAGACAGGATCACAGGTCCTAGCCAGCTCAGCCGGTTCCCACCACAGACACCAGTGCAGCAGCCGCTGCCTGAGTCGCTCCCCAAACCACCGATGGGCGCTGCGCCGCAGGGTAATGCCACAACCGCCCCAGGGCGACACCACAACCGCCCCGGCTGTGCTCTGCCCGAGGGACATTGGCTGCTCCCAGCACCCCAGGACGCCCCGTCTCGTCTCATATGATGCCAGGGGGGCTGGCTTGGCTGGCTCCACTCCTCTTGCGTCTCCCCAGCACCTCCATCTCCAGCCCTCCCTGTTGCCACCACAGCCCTCCCAACCCCAAGGGAAGGGACCTGACAGCTCCAGCCTGGCTGCGGGGAGACTGAGATGGGAAGAAGCTCCCTGGTGAGAACCAGCAGTGCTAGCCGAACGCCGGCAGCAACCACCAGCGATGGCGGGCACCTGGGGCAAGCAGGGACTCCAGGATGACAGACGGGACACAGTCGTCCCCATGCAGCCACCCCAACAGCAGACACGACCCTCAGACAAGGGCTGGCATGGACAGACACGGTTAAACTGTTTGATACAACCGCACCACGGACCTTCCCCAGCGAGGAGAGAGCAGCGAGATGGGGGCCAGGGCCACCCCACACGACCACCAGCTGCTGGATGCTGCCCCACTGTGCGCTCTGCCGTGTGCGAGGCGGCAGCAATTCGGCACCCGCAGCCCAGGATGACTTCTGCAGTCGTGGTTTCCACCTCTCCCTTTTGGTGGATATCATCACAGGCACTGGGCAGGGCAGGAACCACTGCAGCATGGGATCCATCACCGCTCCTACCATCACCTCGGTTTAAGAACTGATGTTTTCAGTCCCTCCTCCAGCCACGGAATTACCACCCTTTTTCCCTGCAGGTCACACCCCAGCCTCAGACCAGGATCCAGGACCTTGAGCGGGAAATGACCCATTTCTCTGTGCTGCAGTTGTGCTTCCCTGCACTCAGGAGGTGGGGGTCCTGGAGGGGATTCCTCGAGCACCCGCACAGCCCTGAGCCCCACGGCTGGGGCCAGGGGTCCCCTCCCTTGTCAGGGGAACGAGTCCAGGATTTTACACAGCTCTTCTCAAGAGCTTTGCAGCAGCCAGGGCTCAGGGATGCAAACAGCGCAGGGAACTCAGGGACACAGCAGTCAAGGCAAAGGATCTCACTACCGCACAGGAAGCACATTTTAGCATGTTTTTGAGCATATTTTGGCACATTTTCAAGCCTTGCTTACAAGAAGGAAATGAGTATCAGCTCTGGTTTTGACTGCAATGACAGCAGCAGCACCTTCCCAGGCCACACAAACCACGACACCGCAGGTACCAGACGGGTCGCTGCCGGGACCGAACACCAGGATCAGCTGCGGTTTGGCGGCGCCGTTCTCCGCTTAACCCCGTAATTCGGGAGACAGCGCCGGTTACCGGAGCTGCGTTTCTCCTCGGGCGGGTGCAGACGCACACTCTGCCCAACAGCCACTTCTTCGGTCCTGGGCAGATGTCAGGCGTTTTTCTCCACCTTTTTAGGTTTCGATAACACCCTCAGCGCTGCCAGTCCGTGCTGCAGCACCACTGCCCCTGCGCCGTCCCGGGCTGCAGTGACGGGGACGGCCGTTGCGGGGAGGCAAAGCCGTGCTCCAGGCTGGGCTGCAGGTGCCAGCGCTGCACCGCCAGCTCCTGGACTCAAATAACCCCGCAGGGACCCTCTGCCAAAAACCGTGACTGTGTGAGGCGCAGGGAACGCGCTGGTTCCCGCGGCGGATTCGCAGCCAAGAGGCAGGATCCGTGTGCGGGCGCTTCCGCAAAAGACGCGGGGCCAGAGCTGCCCGCGCTCAGCCCCGCAGAGCTCCGGTTCGGATGCTCTGCTCTGCGCCGGGCAGAGGGGGACACATCCCGGACCTTCCTCGCTCACAGCGAGCTCAGGAGCGGCCTCAGGCGCAGCAGCGCGGGCTCGGCTCAGCTCAGCGCTGCAGACGGGGCTGTGTCTGCCCGCGGTAGCGCGCACCCCGCCAGGACTCAAGGAAACACAAACATTCTCAGCCGCCACCTTTCATGCTCTCCCCGGCTGAACACAGCGCTCCCAGACAATTCACACTGCCTCCAGCTCCATGACCGCGACAGACATCTTACACACAGAAAAGTAATTCTGCAATGAAAGAAGAGGTTTGGAGAGTGAAAAAGCAAGAGTTCTGATGTCGGTGATCAGGGGCTCTACAGACAGGGATGCAATCCCCGACCTCTGGGGTTTATTTAATGGCAGAGCCAGACCTACCTCCCACGTCCAGATCCACCTTGTAGTTGATGGAATGGGTGTGCACCGTCCCCAGTGTGTGCTCCCAAACCCTGTTGCCGTATCTCAGACCATCCCCATGGAGGAAGGACGAGCTCGTGTATCCCGTGGCCTGGACCTTGCCTTCGATGGCCCCGTTCTGGTAGAATATGAAGTCCCACACGTAGTCATAATTGCCCACGGTGGCAATGGACCGCAGGACCAGAGCGGAGTTGA